ATATGCAGTACTTAGTCTAATAGCAGAACAGGTAATTTAGAATAGATTGCACTAGCAAATTTTCTTCTCAGTTACTTTGTAAATTTCGTATTGACAAAATCCGTTTGAATTCTTCGAATAATCACCTAACTTTAATTCTTTCTCTGCATTAGGATAATATTTCCAGTTAAGACTAAACTTAAAAGAACCATTTTTATTTCGCCTAATACCTAAAGCAAAATTGTGCCTTAAATTATAGGTGCTTCCTGATTTATCAATTGAGGCTCGTACAATATTTCCGGTTAGTGAAGAAAGATCAAAAGAAAACACAAAATTTTTAGATGTTATAGTAGGATACCGATGAAGACGAAAAATTTTGTATTCGCCAATTATCAAGTATGAATTTTTTGGCCTAAGAACTACTAAAGTACGGATTTCAGTCTCATTATTATCAGTTATAACTTGATTTTTTTCTGCCGATTGTTTTGTATTCGAACTAAAAATAAGATCAAAATTATAGGGGTTATTTTTTTGATCATAAATATTTCCTTGAACATCCTTTTGATCGATCCAATTAGCAATAGTTGTGAAAATACGTGGAGATATGACAATTGACTTTAAATTAAGAGGGTTCCGTTTTGGAGAAACGGGAATAGATTTTGGTGGTGAATCGGGATCCAAATAATAAAGAACCACGTCCCCATGCAAATTTTGCGGTAGAATTGGAGCAAAAGGCAGTATTTCTTGACGAAAATCTTTTGAGTTAATTTGAAACCATCGGATGAAGGGAATAAATGGTTCAAAAATTTCTTTCAGAACCGTAAAATTTTCAGTGCACCATGAATTTGGATTGGTGACATCTAAAGTGATTGATGCTTGTGCGGCGCTCCAATGAAGCAAATATTTCCAAACAGCAACTTCACCTGCATTAAGATTACTTTTCTCCAGTATCTTTATTAGCAATGATCTATCCAATCCCGAAAATTCATCGGAATCAAAAAGAGGATACGGATTTTCACAGATAATATCAAGGCATGAATTTCTAAAGGGTTCACAGGTCTCATATTGAAACAAAGTTCGCAGAATACCGATTGGATCTTGCTTAACAAACTCTTCTTCGTTATTAAGATAACATGCTTCCATGGTATTAGTGAGTATTTGCAAATCAAGTTCGTCGGACGCAATAAATAGATGTAGAACATCGGTTCCTTTTAAAGAGGCCAAATCAATTGCAGCGGTATATAAGTACCTTTTACGGTTTATTTTTATTATTAAAATGTATGTAGCAATGAGCATCAAAAATTGGGTAGCAAAAAAAAAAAAAAAAAAAAAAAAAAAAAAGAATTTGATTTACCGTAAAAAAATCAAGA